AATGTATTTATATAGTAAATTCATTCCAGTGACTGATTTACACTTTAAATATTTATAATGCCAAGTGATGAAGTTAAAAAAAAATATGTAGGGAATAGAGTTCATGTCACTGATATCTTTTAACTAAAATAGTAAAAACAAAACATCTGTGGTATAAATAATTAGTTTCATCATGGTTGAAAACTTCAAAACATATGGCAGGGGCTGGACAGATGGCTCTGTAGTTAAGAGCACATACTGCTCTTCTAGAGAACTGAAGTTTGATTCCCAGACTCACAACTGCCTGTAACTCTAGCTCTAAAGGACCCAACGCCTCCTTCTGGCCTCCTTGGGCATGGGCATTCATGTGCACACACCCACACACAGACACACATATACATATAATATTTTTTTAAGTATAGCAGCTTTTCACCAACAAGTTGCACAGGGAAAACAGGATGGAGAAATGGTGTTATTATAGCTGAGACAAGTTCTTTCATAGGTCATTTTAATCAATAAGCTCTAATTGCAATCATGAACACAGAAACTACATTGAAAGGCTATGTGAGGAATTGTGCATCTGCAGTCATTAACTCCAAACTGATTTGTAAAGATCTTAAAATTATATTTATGTATTGTGTGTGAGTACTCGTCACCCCAAGTGGGGAGATGGGAGGGTAACCTGCAGGAGTTGGTTCTCATCTTCCACCGTGTAGGGCCAGTGGGGTAGCGGGGGGTGGGGGGTGGATGTCAGGTCATCAGGCTTGGCAGTAAGTGCCTTTACCAGATGAGACATCTCACAGGCACAAGACTAATGTTTTCCCCCCTGAGGATTATGTTTTTATTTTATTTTGTTTTGCAGCAGTGTCTCACTGTGTAGTCCTAGCTAGCCTGGAACTCACTGTGTAGACCAGGCTGGTTTGGAACACACAGAGGTCTGCCTGCCTCTGTCTCTTGAGTACTGGAATTAAAGGTATGTTACCACCATGCCACACTGGGACCAATTAAAAAGGAGTTTAATAAATTCTCCATAGGCATTATGACAACCATGTTGCTTTGTCTCCAAAACATGAAAATAATAAAAAGCCAGTCTATTCATTATTTCAATGGCATGGCAACATCATAGAATATACACTTTATATAAATTGTCTAATTTCCTTGAGAACAAAGCTATTCATCTGCTTAAACTATAGCAAGGCTTTAAGTCTATTTTATATATACAGACATTAAGGATGGCATAATATTTTATTTAACATTCACACCTTCCATTTTATAGGCCAGAAACTGGTGCAAAATATGATGCAATTTGCTCATGCTCAGCACAAAGGGGCTGGAGAATTAAATACTCTTGGGATGCAAAAACATCCTGTCTACAGAATGTTTGGATTCACAGTGTTTACTAAGAATTTAGACTGTGAATGAGCACTCAGTTTCAGCTGAGATGCTGTCTGGGTGATAACCCATACAAGCTGTCTCTAGAGATCACTGCAGCAAATCTTTAATAAGCTGTATGTGTCCATGTGAAACCTCACTGAAAATAAGAGCCGTGGTCTAACTGCTGTGAACTCTAACAACTTCAGTGTGTCCTTGCTCACAATTCTTTTCTCATATAAACTCTGAATTACAAGACAGGAACATGCTTGACCTTCTGCAAAGAGGACTGGTATAAATTCCTAAAACAGAATTGTTTTCTATTCTATCTTAAAGGATAATCATTTATTGATAAGAAAATCTCTATTTCATTATATATTTTAATGTTGGGCAATGGTTGCTCTTGCAGAGGACCTGGGTTTGAATCCTATCACCCACATGGTGGCTTACAATTGTCCATAACTCCAATTCCAGAGGATCTGATGCCCTCTTCTGACCTCTTCTGGAATTGCATGACATGGGTGCACTTACATATATGCAGGCAATACTTTCATAAATATAAAAATAAAGATAATGTTTATTTTTTATTTTTAAGAATCTGTGTTAAAATATGAGCTGGGCTTCTTACAGCAGGTCTATAATCCCACTTACTTAGGAGGCTGAGTCAGAAGGATCACAAAGTTCAGGACCTTCCTGGACTACAGAGCCAATTCAGGGCCAACTTAAATAATTCATAAATATTTTGAGTCCCTGTATCAAAATAAAAGATAAAATAAATAAATAAATAAATAAAGTATGAGGGATATATCTCAGTACTGTAGCACTAGATTGCTTGCCTATCATAAAGCCCTCACCTCACTCCCCAGTACCATTTTTTAGAAAAAGAAAAATATGGGGGTTAGAGAGATGGCTCAGTGATTAAGAGCACTGGCTGCTCTTGCAGAGGACCTGGGTTCAGTTCCCAGCACCCACATGGCCATTAACAACTGTCCTAACTCCAGTTCCAGGGGATCAGATGCTCTCTTCTGACCTCCATGGGTATTACATAACACAGATGCACTTACATATATGTAGACAATACATATAAAATAAAAATAATAAATAAAATTTTAAAAATTAAAAAAGGAAAATATGAGGTAGAAATCTAGCCACACACAGATTCTCAAACATTTGAGGCTCTTCTGAAGTATGATTTTCAAGCCATTTAGTTTCTAGATAGGTTAATCTAGAATGGTATTCTATTACCAGTTGCTGGAGGTTGCCACTTAGAACTGTGAAGAAATGAGTGACTGATTTCTACACAGACTGCATTCTCTTGACCTTCAACCTCCTTTCAAGGTCCCATGCTCATCAACAGCGATAGAACTTATAGGGTCTTATTTAATGTGGTATTGTTTTGAAATTAATTGCATTTGGAACACTAAATACTCTCTGGTACTACAAGCATATGGTCATTTTTACATTGTGCTATTTCCATAAAATATATGTTCTTTTCATCATAAGAATCTGCTTCCTTAGGACAGCTCCACCAAATCAGAAAATGATAGCAATTTAATTTCTTTTTTCCTACTAGGAGCAACAGATTTTCTAAAACCCAAACATATGCTTATCTTATTTCAAGAAATTGCACCGGAAGAAACTGAATATTGATCAGCATCTTATACATTACATTTAAATACTTGCATTTATATAAAAGTTACAAAATAAAAGAAGGAGCCGGCATGGTGGCTCATGCCTTTAATCCCAGGACTCAGGAGGCAGAGGCAGCTGAATCTCTGTGAGATCAAGGCCATCATGGTCTACATAGCAAGTTCCAGGACAGCTGTGGCTACAGGAAGACCCTGTCTCAAAACAACAACAAAAACCAAAACCAAACCAAGGGGCTGGAGAGATGGCTCAGAGGTTAAGAGAAGAGCACTGGCTGCCCTTGCAGAGGACCCAGGTTTGATTCCTAGCACCTACATGGCAGCTAACGACCATCTGTAACTCCAGTTCCAGGGGATCTGATGCCCTCTTCTGACCTCTGCAGGCATTACAAGACATGGGTGCACTTACATACATGCAGGCAATACAATCATGCACATAAAATAAAAATAATAAAGTATCTTTTAAAAACAATATAAAATAAAAGAATGCATTCCAATATTGTATGGTGCTGGTTTTTTACCCGAAGAGACCAGGATGAAGGTGGAATAGTGAAAGAGCACCCAGTATTATTAGTCAAACAGTAGATCACCAGTTTTCTAATGCAATGAGATTCATTCACCCAGCTGCCATTTTCTAGTCCCTGCAGGAGGAGTGCTGTGAAATCCTGTCTTCTGGACAGGCATGGCTTTTGCTCTGATGAAATCACTGTAGCCAAGGATGCCTACAGAGACCTGCACAGGATGGGGCTTGTCAAGATTCTAGTGTGGACGGGACTCAAGAGGTTCCACCACTAGATGAAGAACTAATGGATGCTGGACAAGGGAGACATTTTTTTTTCAGTAGTAAAATGGCCAACTGTAAGTTAGTTGCCCATGCTCCAGCAAATAACTCCATAGCCATATGCATGCAAGCAACCCTAATGAAACTTGGTGGGTCATTTTTTTTTGAAAGTCATGAAAGGAGGAGAGGGGTTTGTTGGGGAAGAGGAAGGCGTCCAGAGGAAATAGGAGGGCTAAGAAAGGGTTAGTGAATATAATATTCACTAAGGGCTAGTGAATATGATAAAATTTTATTATGTATTACTTGGCATGGTGGTGCTCACCTTTAATCCCAGCACTTGGGAGGAAGGGGCAGGTGGATCTCTTTGAATTTAAGGCCAGCCTGGTTTACATAGTGTGTTCCGGGCTTCCCAGGGCTACATAGTGAGACTCTGTCTCAAAAAAAAACAATCATTATATTCATGTTAAAGAAAAAGCAATACAAATCTTTCTTTTACATTTCCCTTTGCAACGCCTTCATTGTAGGCAAGCCATTTTGTTTTTCTAACTGAGGTACAATCCTTCAGCTTCTAGCTCTGCTCTGCTACTTACAAAGCCATGGCTTTTTCTTTCTCCTCTTCTCCCATGTTAAGATCTCACTCTCACACTCCAGGGCAGCCCTGTCATCACTGCTGGGTAGCTGGGTATCTCACGCCTTGACTGGAGCTGTCCAGCAGGATTCAATGTCTCCCCTAGGGTCTTAGAGTAGACAACTCCTCACCTACACCTCACACCTCTGGCACAGCAAGTCTTACTTTTTATGATGTAAATGGATCCCCAGATCCCTAGCCTCCACTTCTTCTCATCTTTGGACCCTTGACAACTCCCACAGAGCCTAGCAGATAGAAGCATTTAGCGAATATATGCTGAACCAAAACTACTCGTTTTCAAACATGAGTTTTTCTCAACAGTTTAAACTAGAGCTGGCCTTGCCCCAGATTGTCCACAGAACAGCACATGACTTCTGCTCTACTTTTACAACCCATTAGTGACCCAAAAAAGGGGAGGGATGAACATTTCCATTAACTAGGGATGCCAGAAAAAAATATACATTTGCCCAGTACAAGCTAAATTTCAGGCAATCAACAGTTTTTAAGTGTAATTCTAAATATTGCAATAGGACATATTTATATTAAATCAACATTGACTAGTAATCTGAAATTTAAACTTGAAGAGGCAGCCTAATTTTTTTTGGCAGCCTAAATTTTTATTTGCTAAATCCAACAACTTTACTAGTGACTTTAAAAAAATTCTTGGAGGGTGCAGGCACTGCACTCCCCAGACACCTGGAAGTTTGTATCTGAGCTCTAAAACCTCATTTCTGAGCAGTTCAGCAACATGCTTTAGGAAATGTTGCTTATTATATAACATTTCCCCTTATTTTGTTAATTTCATAGAATTCCTTTATAACACCATCTATCAATAGTTTTTAAGCACAAAGCATACTATAATGTTGGTTCAAATATCTCTTGACAAGCTAATATTCATAAAGCTATTACTACGCCTGAGTTAAGTCCTGGGCTGTATGTATCAACATTTAATTCTCCAAAAATTTCCTATTTTCAATTAAATCTGCAAGACACAATAAGGAAAAAGAGCAAAATTTTCATTTCAGGATTGTTTTTCTTCATTGATGAAGCACAGCAACACACACTGTCCTCAGACTGGGAGAAACAGTCTGGCAGGCAGAGGTGGAGCCTGTGATGTAACTGCAGTCTTTGTTGGAAGTGCCTTCCCTAAATGTGAAACATCTGTAAACTGAAGTACTACAGTTCCTCCTCGTACCTCCTGGCTGGCAAGGGAAGAGAGTTGCCTCCTTCATTATTCTATACAGGGAGGCTTAAGATTTTGGTCAACAAAAGAATTCCTTATGTATAGATCACTTGCAGACCTACCTGGCTCACATACCTGCCAGGGGAAGCTGACTTTAGGGTACTGCCAGTTTACTGATTGTGATGGTACAATGGAAGCTAGAGCCCAGACTATAGGGCAAGATGCCTGAGTCTGCTCCAGTGCTGAAAGTTCCCTGAAAAAAAAAAGGGGGGGGTCTTCTTTCTGTATTCTTGACAGTAATGTCTAACAGAGAAGGCATTCATTTCTTTTTCTCGTAAGAGAGGAGGTTAAGACGAGAGAAAGAGCTCCTATGAGGGCAAAAGGGAGTCTGACAAAATTTCAACTAGATTGACCTCGAAGGAAACTTCTAGCAAGAGAATGACTAAGACTGCTGTTACTTCGTGTTGTCATAAGATAATGAGGAACTATGACGTTTACCCCAATATAGGCATGCTACCTGCTTTCCACCATATTGGCAGTACCAGTTAAGGACGGTTGTCAAGCGACGACACAACAGGCACACGCTGCAGAGATATAGAACAATGCCTGGATGCCTGCCCAAAACTGTTCTCTCTAAATGACAGCCTCAATTTGTGACACCAATCTAAAGCTCACTGGGGATTAGAATGTCTTTTTCCTAGTTGGTGAGGGGAAGAAATGAAATTTGGAAAAGCACTGGCCAGGGCTTCCACCTGCCTCTGTGGAGAAGAAAGGCTCATAAACATATTCATTAAACTTGATCCGAAGCAAGTGAGTCTGTGAGGTCGTTTGTGAAATATTCATAAGGCATGTTACCGGACTCGCCACTTTGAGGAGGGGAGGAGCAGTCAGTGCCCACACTTGGAAAAGAAAGACACTTGGAAAAGCAGCACATCCCACTGTTCTGGTTTTAACAGCTCTGACGGCTGACGTTCCCCACTCGCCTGTTCAAATGCACCTGCCCAGGAACGGTAGATGCTCTTAAGTGTGGAGTTTCCCAGCAGTAGGATGAGGTGCAGCGCGCCAGCCCCTGGGACTAGGGCTGCTGGGTCCGGGCTCAGAGACCGCTAGCCTCACAGCTCCGTCACTCTGCAGCCTCGCACCACCCTAGGGGCTGAAGCCGGCAGGACAGAGCACTCCCCCGGGCCAGGACCGGCCACCCGCCCCAGCCAGGCCGCTCTTTGTCCCCGCTGGGGATCCCTCCCTTGGAGCCTGCAGTGGCGTTCAGTCGCTAGGCGACCCGCGCCCAGGCGGAGATGCCAACAGCCTCCTGCGCTGACCTGCAGCACCGCGGGTGCTGATTTCAGGGTTCAGGCTGAGGAAGAGTCTTAGAGTCTTGGGTGACCCCAGCGCTCCTGCGCCGAGGTCGTGTGCACTTTCATCCACGTTCCCTCTCTGCCCGCAACCCTTGGTATTTCTGCTGCGCCGCACCCAGCTCGGCTCACAGCACACCTCGCATCCCCACCAAGGGCATTCGCCCCTGGGCTCTGGGGTGGCGACTCACCGGGGCTGGGACAGCGGCTGGCTCAGCAGCTCCGGGCGCGCGGCAATGTGGTCTGCATCTCTGCCTTCCGCTGCGCTCCGGCTGCACGCAGGCGACCGCGACCGACGCGGCTGGTCCCCCAGGCGCCGAGGCTGGACCGAGGCAGCCCCGGCTGCCGCACTGGCTGCGGGTGCGGGAGGGGCGGGGGCGGGACAGGAATCTGGGTCGCGTGTTCCCGAGCAAGCCGGGATGCACCCTGGGCGGCGGGCGACGAGGAAGCGACGGAGAGCAGCCGGGGAGGGAGTGCAGAGGTTTCCCTGGGAGCAAGACGCGGGCGGCTACTGAGCATGCCCAGTCCCGGAGCCCCGGGGCGCGGGCGCGGCAGGGAGGAGTGAGCACCCGGGCCGTGTCAGAATCTGGGGGGAAAGGGTTAAATCTGCGGGCCTGGCTGCTGAGGGCCAAGAATGGGGAGTTGTCTGCAGTGACCCAGTTTGCGCCCAAGTCGACCACCCCCAGAAAAGTCTAGGACAGTGACCCTCTGGAGACCTGTCTATGGGATTCCCGAAGAATCCAGGGCAAGGCGTGTTGCCCAACTCCTCCCGGAGGATTGTTCGGAAGTCAAAGTTTGGTTTGTTCAGTTTTAACCTCCTCCACCCACCAATCCAGATACCCAGCCCTCACCTGCTTTCCTTTGTGTCCGGAGACCTCCCAGACAGTCCTCCAGAACCCTGGACAAGTCAGGTCAAGTTGTCAATGAGCCAGCTCTTTAATGAGGTGTAATAGAGAGCTCACGTCTGTCCTCTCAAGCCACATCTGCGTTTTAACCAGGGCCTCAGAAACAATGCCCTAACCCCCGGGTAAGGACTGCAGCTGTTTGACCAGCATTGCCTAGCACTAGATAGGCCTGACCCCTCCCCACCCCCACACACTCCTTTCTGTCTCCACTGTACTTCCTGTTATATGAAGAACGTCTTCACAGCTAATCAAGAAAGCTTTTTTTGTATTAGAGACAGCGTAGGGCAAGGGAAACTGGATGGCCTTTGAACTTGACGTTGACATTAGTTGCATTTTCCACCCCAGGCAGGTGACTTAGCCAGTCTGCATCTCAGATTCCTTGTCTGTGAAGGGTGGACTGTCCAAGCAGTCTGTTTTGAAAAGGTGACAGAGTAGCCCTGATAGTGAAAAACCCTGGAGAGATGGCTCAGTGGTTAAGAACACTGGCTGTTCTTGCAGAAGACCGGGATTCGAATCCCAGCACTCACCTGACAGCTAACAACTGTCTGTAACTCCAGTTCCCGGGGATTTGACAGACTCTTCTGTCCTCCAAGGACATTGCAGGACATGAGTGCACCTACCTACATGCAGGCAATACATGCATACACACAAAATAAAAATAATAAATATAGCTGGTGTGAGATTGAGGACAGCCTGGTCTACATAATGAGTTCCAGGACAGCTGGGGCTACAGGGAGACCCTGTCTCAAAAAGACAAATAATAATAATAATAATAATAATAAATATAAAAAAGAAACTCTAAAACCCTAATCTTTCTAGTTTTGGGCATTGGTAAAACGATAAAATATGAGTAGGCTTGTCTTTCTTTTGATTATCTAGTTTCTTCATATTTCCAGGAATAAATTTCTCACAAAAAGTTAGTGTAGGGCTCTACATGGGTCTTCTTTGGAAAGAACAGCTTTTTCCTTAGAGAGTCATTAAAGACAGACAGGTTTTCCAAGTAACCCTATGGTCCTTGCCTCACAGTTATAAAAAATAACATATCCCCATGTGGAAGGAAATTTATGCCCCACTCACATAATCTGCTGTTTCAAGTATCAACTTTCAAAACCTAAACTTTTCATTATCCCCTAAACATACTATGTTTTTCATAAGGCTTTCCTTTTGTTCATAGCGTTCCATTCTTTCTGGAACACAATTCTCTTTTCATTTCATGAAGACCTTCTCATTCTGAATCTTTGCCGCAGCACAAGTTAGTGCCCCATTGTCATAGAGCCCTGCACACTGCTATTACAGCACTTAGTGTAGTTTGCTACTGTCCTATCAGCAATGTAAACCTACTGGGTGGCTAACTCTTTTGGGTTATGCACTCAGCTACATGCTGGGAAAACAGCAAACAAAATTGACAAGGTTTCTCCCCTCAGGGAACTTACAAGAAATATAGGCAATAAACACCCAAAATAGAGATAATCAGTAAGGACAGAGGTCAAGTACTTTTGGCTTGGTGTTATCCATCAAATCTAAAGCAGTGAATAGTTTAAAACAGTGAATAATTTTTACTCCTTCCATTTGATTACATCAGCTAACACTGTTCTAACCCCAAATTGTTTTCTGAAAGTACCTGACACCTGAATGAAGAATGGGAGGTGGGGGAGTAAGGACAGAGAGTTCAATCTCTACACTCTATTATATTATTCATTCTCAAACTTAAGGAATAGCATTTGTAAATGCCCAACATCAACCTAGATCCCTGATCTGCTGTGTTCCACATATCTTCCTGACTCATCACTCTTAACCCCTAACCTTCTCGCCACCTACAGCCTGTATTTATGCCAATACTTATTCTCCAGAATATAATCTGATTCTTGGATCTTACTGATGTCTGAATGACTTAAGTATTCCTCTCTGATCCTCTTACTGTCTGAGTATGAGAACCAATTTTTCGGAAGCATGTTTGTACACATGTGTTCCAGAGCAACTAGTCACTGATCACCTTGCCACTGTTTAATGAGGACAACTCTCCAGCAAGATCCCACTCATCCTTATTTTACAGAACTTGGCAGGTAACTGTATAATGGATCCTCAGTAAGTTTAGGAAATGAAGGAATGTTTGTGGGTGTTGAACTGTATTTGCTTCCTCAGACCATACTTCTTTTCTAATTGGTCTTCCTACTAATCCTAGAATTGATTCACCACCATTTGGTTTAAGTTGCCCTTGCCTGAATTTCCCTCCAGCCACAAAACTATATATTCCTCTACTTCTAGGTTCTGAATTGTTTTTGAATTAAAAAAAAATCTATTCATCAGTTTAATATGTAATCCACAAGGAAGAGATAGAGCATATGATCTATCATTTACAAATAATGCATAAAGAATCCACAGAAGAGGACCTTGCACCCAAAGCCACAGCAGGTCAGCTGAAGAGGAAAGGGAAGAGGCAGAGGCTGCTGGGCTTTGTCATCTACTTGGGCTCCACTTTGGCTCACTCTAAATGGCACCGGGCTTGGGTCTTTCTGAGACAGGTGGCTATACTTACTGGTTGAGGGTATCTCTCACGGAACTTTACTATCCTTAGGAATGTGTTTGACTAAGAGTTTCCCCACCCAGACGTTTCTTTCTTTAGCAAAATTAGATTGAGCAATAGGCAAGTAGGAATGCCCCGTCTGGATCCTTTTGTGGGTGTGGTGGATGCTGTGGCCCATTTATTTACTTCAGTCTTACTGGAGTCTTAAACATTGTGTCCTGAAGAAGTTATAATAGGAGAGGATTCTTTGATTAATTTGCTTACTAAAAAGGAAACTTCTGAGCCTGGTGTGGTGGCACAAACCTTTAATCCCAGCACTTGGGAGGCAGAGGCAGGCAGATCTCTGTGAGTTCGAGGATAGCTTGGTCTACATAGAGAGTTCCAGGCCAGCTGGGACTACAGGGAGATCCTGTCTCAAAAAGACCAAAAAGAAGAAAAAGAAAAGAAGTTTTAGGTCTTAGAGCTGGAGAGATGGCTCCAAGTGGTTAAGAGCACTTAGTGCTATTGTAGTGGACCCAAGTTCGATTCCCCGCACCCACATGGCAGCTGACAACCGTTTGTATCTCCAGTTCCAGGGAATCCAACACCCTCTTCTGACCTCCTCAGGCATTGTATGACACAGGTGCACTTACACATATACAGGCAATACATTCATACACATAAAATAATAAAATATTTTTAAATGTTTTAGGTCTTCTCTAATTTTGCTTAGTTATATAAAGTTTAGAAATAATAGAAAGTCATTGTGCTTTGTAGTAGAATGGATTTTATAGAACTTTGGAGTTCTGTGTACAAAACTGAAATGGCAGTTGAACTCAGTTCACTTATTAATGTCTTTAAGCATCAAGGAAGGCTGAGAACCAGAACTTCCAGCCCATCAGATGGTCTGGCTTGAAGGACTCATTTTCTAGGAATCTCGATGTGCTTGATGACACCAACCTCTTCATTACTCCTGTCATTGACTCAGAGACTTAAGAAGGGTATGGTTGGGGCTGGAGAGATGGCTCAGCAGTTAAGGGCACTGGCTGCTCTTGCAGAGGATCCAGATTTAGTTCCCAGCACCCACATGGCAGCTAACAATCATCTGTAATTCAGTTTGAAGGGATCCCATACCTTCTTCTGGCCTCTGTGGGCATTGTGTGCACAGGTACACTTAACATGCAGGCAAAACACTCATACACATAAAATAAAAATAAATAAAAATTGTAAAATTTTAAATTACATTTTATTTTCTTGTGTGTGTGTGTGTGTGTGTGTGTGTGTGTGTGTGTGTGCGTCATGGCTCCCATGTGGAGGTCAGGGGATGGGTAAAGCTGGTTCTCTCCTTCCATCATGTGGGTCCTTGGGATCAAACTCAGGTTTTGAGGTATGGCAGCAGGTGCCTTTACTCGCTGAGCCATCTCATTGGCCCTATTTTAAATCAGAGCAACACATTTCTCCCTATTTTTTGAAACTATGAATTGGTAATATACTTTGAATAAATATTGATTGGATGGATTTATGAAGGGATAGCCAAGCAGATGAATGAGGGGATAGGTGAAGACAGAGAGGGAAGAATGAATGAGCAACAGAACCAGTACATGGTCAGACTTTTGTCTGCCTAGAACTTTCTGAGACTATCTAGATTTCAAATATTTGTTTCATTGTTTATATTTCAGATGACATGTGTCATTATTTTGGTTTATAAAATCTGTTACTATGCCAGCCTAGCATGCATGAGATGCTGAGCTCACCCTCTTTCTCTTTCTCTCTCTCCTCTCTCTCTCTCTCTCTCTCTCCCTCTCTCTATCTGTCTGTGTATGTATATATTTATATATGTATATATGATACATATCTACCTATATACAATATACACATTTCTCTACATACATACACAAATGTGTTATCATATACATGGAGACAGTTCTAT